AATGATATTCAGAATGATATAAATCCAGGTTTTTTTTCTCATCCATCTTTGTATACTGTGTTCAACCTGATTTGTATCACAGTGTTATCCAGCTTTGTTTCATATGTACATTCTCATGTACAACTACATGGTTGCCTGAGAAAACACAAACACTGTCAGGGTACCACAATGTACCACATCACAAGGTACCACAAACATGTTGCAAAGCTGATCATAACAGTCGGTAGCACAGTTCTCATGTATTACAGATGTGGTTTCATGTGGTACCAATAAATGTTTTGTTTCATGTGATACATTACCATGCACAAGTAGTTCTAATTGGTTACATACCACAGTGTACCACGCCACATGGTACCACAAACATGTTACACAGCTGATCATAAAATGTTGGTACAACAGTTCTCATGTATTACAACTGTGGGTATTAATTGGTTATCACGATGTACCACACAAAATGTAGCCTATTGTCTTTGTGGGTATAAACTTGGGAATTTGTATGTATTGCTATTGGAGATGTTTTTCCCGGTTCTACTCTTTCTTATCACGTTCTGCGGTTCAACAACATCCCACAAGTATATCTGTTACTAATTCCATCCATTAAAAACTGCAATGTTTAAGGTTGTCTTTTTAGTTAGTATTGTTGTGTAGATTATAATCTATCAACATTCAAATATGTATGCCCTTTTCTTTGACATTTTCTTCTGGTCAAATACAGATAAAAATGATAGTTGTGCTTGGAGAACTTGGTGGTCGAGATGAGTATTCCTACTCATATTATTTTAAGCATCTCTGATGACAGAGGTACATACATGATGCACAAGTTTTTGGGGAGGTAATACATGTACAAACACTTGTTAGTGAGTGATTTCTTTGATCTGATTTACAGGTGAAGAGCCATGCTATGCTGGACTACCATTGTCCACAATTGTCTAAAAAGGAATGGGCATTGGTGATGTTATTTCTCTTTTGTGGTTCAAGTGTAGCCTTGCCCGCTACTGCACACATTTTATTGAGGTTGGTTAAGGTTGAGTTTTGTTCTTCCAAATACTTAGGGAAGAGTTAGACTATTTGTCAAAATGTAGCACAAATTGAATGGAAACAAGGAATACTAAGTGTTATCACGATGTACCACACAAATATTATCATCAATACTAAGTGTAATCACAATGTAGCACAAAATCGATTATAAAAATGCTGTAAATTCTTTTCCAAATTAACATAATATTATTCTTTCCACATTGTTTAAATCAAAACAACACCAACAATAAAACCTGAAATTGATGTTTACTAACAGAAACAATGTTTAAGGGATACTTCATATTGAAAATGTAGAACAGAAAGCGATTTTACCTAATCTTTCGTTATCATCCATCGATTATGTATATGGTTCCACTTGTGATCGACTCTAGGGTTTAGGGGAATCTACTCCTTCTCGAAAAATATACCGTATCTTGACTCTATTTGGATTCGATTTGAACATTGTATAATAAGAATATTAACGGATTTTTAGCGCGCACTCAAATCCGTCTCAATAACTTAAAAAAGAAAACGACAATCTTGCCCTTCTTTCCATTATATCATTAAATGTCAGTATCTTATTTTAGGAATTACATTAATTAGGAATCCTTTCAATTTTAACCATTGATTATTAGGGTGTGTGGTTAAGATTAGATCTCACGGTTACCACAAACAACTCAGTTCTCATTTGATTAAGCCCTTATATATATATATATTTGGTATCTATTATTTTTCTTTCATTTTTAGTTTTATTATCCGACATACCGTTCAAAATATGACCCCTACAGATGTAGTCATCATTCTCCCACTTGTTTCTCCTCCTCATATGATCCAATGTCTCGTTCTCCATCACTTCGGGCGTTGGGGTACTCAGCACAAAAACAATTTTTAGAGTTGTAAGGAGAAAATGCATCTTATTTTGCAATCTTCTGAAGTCGTTTCCTTGAAATTTCTCCAACTTACTGAACTTGCTCGTCATATCCTTCACGGATTCACTCATGATTGCAGAAAAACAAGAAAATATCTAATTCAATTGTTGGGGTAGATGAACAATAGGGTGGTTTTCTGAAATCACAATTGCTTGGATTCTTGCTTGGATCATGTATATCGCTTTCCGAATCAAATATTTCAACCCTATAGCCTTGGGTTGCACAAAATTTTGAGTATGAGATAATCCAAGAAGGAACAATCTAAATTATTAGGCACAGAAAAAAGATCACGTTACTGTAGGTTTTGAATATTCGAATTCTTCGATTCAGGCCAAAAGAAATGAATTTAAATGAGTATCTATACTCAGAGTTATCCATAAATGAATAAGAATAAAACCAAAGACAACTTTTTCCATAACACTTCTTTCGGGCAGCGGGACCCCTACCAGAGGCGCTGCCCATGGGACCCCGCAAGGGGGTGCGACCCCCTTGACCCCCGCCTTTTGGTCGTTCCAGAATCAATCTAGTCTCATAAAAGTGTGCGCTCCGCACCTCCTAACTTGCATAAAAAACTAAGTAAATATCCCTTTTAGCTCTTGCATATTTACCCATTACACCAAATGAAACCGGTAACACTAAAATCAACTACATCCACAATAACAAAACTTTTACATGAAGCTTTTTTGGTGACACTTCCATACAATGAACTCCAATCGAATGGTTAAATCATCAAAAATGTCGATGATAAAATCCAATCGAATGGTATATCACCAAATTTGGTGTGATAACATTCACACGGCAAAAGATGCTTGACCCACCCATTTTCAAATGTTTTTAAGGTTTTTTTTTTAAATATAATTAAGGTTTAGAATTTTAATTTTGTTAAAATTATTTGGAAATAGAAATTAACATTTTTTATGTTAATTCATTTTATTTTGATTAATTTTTTACAGCCAAAAACTTTAACATACTTTTACTATAACAAAAACTTACCCAAGTTTTTTTATAGTTTATTAAGGTCCAATCATTTTAAAGGGCGTTTGAGATTGTTTATTTGAAACAATTTATGTTTTTCTATAAAAACACCTATCAACTTATTATAAGTCAGACGAGTTTAACTTCTTTAAAAACTCTTTATTACCGGTTTGACACTGATATAAGTTGTTTATCCAAACACTCAAAAGTGTTTATTACCGGTGTCACACCAGAATATGTTAATAAATTGTTTTCATAAGCAATCACAAACACCCTTAAGTTATATCATTTATATTAATTTCTATACAAATCAATGAATAAAAATAAGTAAATACAGATTTATTTATATTGAGAAAACATTAATTATTACTTTAATTATGTTTTATTTTACATTAAATATTTATTTTTGGTTATTTAAACATATTAATACAATATCTTATGTATATGATATCTTTATGCTTTATGCAAATTATGAAAAAAACACACTTGTGGGCCAGGGAGGTTCCAATCCAATCATCTATTGTATGCACTATACAAACACGCGTTTCAAAATCATACCTGAAAAGATGGCTCTCAACGCCATACTGCCGGCGACCCAACTGGATTATGATCGCAAGGCTGAGCTCAAGGCGTTTGAGGAAACCCAAGCCGGTGTCAAAGGACTGGTTGATGCCGGAATCACTAGTGTTCCTAGAATGTTCCACCTACCCTCACCTGAGATCCTAAAATCCGGCCAACAGTTGTGTCCGGAAACAACACTTCCGACCATTGACTTTGAAGGAATCAACGTAGATCCAATCCGACGAAAGAAGGTYGTTGAGGAAGTGAAAGATGCATCAGAGMGTTGGGGGTTCTTTCAGATCGTGAATMATGGAATTGCGAGTAGCGTGTTGGAGGAGATGATRAAAGGGGTTWTAGGGTTTMATGAGCAAGATACAGAGGTTAAGAAGCAATGGTACAKCATGAATAGCAAGGGGAAGCATCCGGTGGTGTACAACAGCAATTTCGACTTGTATGTTTCACGTGTAGCCAACTGGAGAGACTCTCTCATTTGCAACATGGCTCCTAATCCTCCCAATCACCATGAATTGCCTCCTATTTGCAGGTTTCGTTACTTTTATACTCCAAGTTTTTCAAGTGTTTTCAATCTATACTGAATTTTATATGAGCTCGATTTGATACGATGGTGTTATGCTAAACTCGAATTTGATTTGATAGCTCGAAAATACTTCTTGTTCAGCTTGATGAAGATCAATTTCAGAGCTTGAAATTGAAATATTCAATTAATATCGCTCTATTTGACGATTTGAATAGCTCAAAAATATCTTTCTGAACTCGGTTCAATATAACAAAGTCTCTGGTTTGAGTTCGACCTACGGAGGGTTCAAAAAAATTATTAAGATTCGTGTCAAACTCGATTGAGCTCGAAGTGAGTTTGAACTCAAATCACTCGATATAAGTTCCACTTAACAAAAGTTGATGTAAATGGGATTTCTTTTTGCAGAGAGATATTGATGAAATATGCAAATGAAGTGCACAAACTTGGGGTTCAGGTACTCGAGTTGATGTCCGAGGCTCTCGGGCTCAACCCGAGTCACCTCATAGAGATGGGGTGCGTTGAAGGACTTTCGGTTCTCGGCCATTACTATCCTTCGTGCCCACAACCTGAGTTGACGATAGGCACGAGTAGCCATACCGACAATACCTTCATCACAATTGTTCTGCAAGACCATATTGGTGGTCTTCAGTTCTTTAATGAGAACCGGTGGATCGATGCTCCTCCTACTCCGGGAGCTCTTGTAGTGAACGTGGGAGAACATCTAAAGGTAATCTCTCCCCTCTCAACTTCTTTCTTGTTAAATATAGTTCTGAAGCAAGACCAAAATGAGTCCCATATATCCTACCTACCCGAGGTAGGGCACGAGGTATCAGATATACGTAGACTTGACCTACTTCTAGGGTAGTGTCAACTTTATCCAACCGTATTGACATGTACGCTGCCTCAAGGGGGTAACGCACAATTTATCATATATTAGAAGGATATTTGCACAATATAACGAGATACATTTCGATGTTAATATTTTGTTTTATTCTTTGTCCCTGTCGATATAATACGATTTTACATGGTTTTGAGAAAACAATAATAATTTTTTTGAATAAAATATAAATTTAAAGATGTTATAAAACTTTGAAAAAAATATATCGATATTAGTATCAAATTAACTATTTAAAATTTCTCGTTTTTTGTATACTTTTTTTAATTCAATTTTTTATTACAATTTAATTTATATTTAATAATGAAGTAATTTATGTTTGATTTAACAATATAATCCTTTATAAAGATAATAATTAAGTATTCGATAATAATTAAGTATTCTGTTAGAAATCAATGATTATCCTAATTACGTTTTAGAGTTTTTATATTTGAAATGAAATGTTTATCTTGTATTTGATTTAGTTACACGAATTCATTAATAGATCTTTAATAAGTTGTACTTATGTACAATTTACTTGTAATCTTGACTTTTGAGTAATATGCATTAATCAACAGTACTTCATGCATAAAAAGATGGTTTTTAAGAGTTCTCGTCAAATGCTTTATAATCTAGTATAGATAGAGGTGAGGTTTCGAAGATGAGATGTATGGAGACCCGCACTCTACCTCAACACCTAGTTTCATAGTACACATTTTAATTTTACAAAATAAACATGTTTAATTAAACTTAGGGGTTGTTTATACCGACATAAATTGGGTAACAGCTAAGAGCCTCTCCTACAGAATCTCTAAAATAGATAAAACAAAGAATTTGTTCTCTATTTTGCTCGAACAAATTCTCCGGCTAGTATTGTTCTGTAAAATAGAGAAAATAAGAGAAAACTCCAAGTTTAGAAAATTCTTTAAAATTAATTGTGAAGAGAGAAATGATTTTCTATTCTTTCCCACCAATGAAATTGAATTATTATTATTCTATATAATTTTTTCTAAAATACGTATTGTACCATAAATTTATAGAATACTTCAATAATATAATCAATGTTGAAAAATCCCAAAAATAGAGAATTTGTAGGAGTTGAGTTTGAGTAATTTTAGAGATTATAACCTTTGGTTTCTTATTTTAGAAAAATTATAGATAATCTATTGATATGCGTGTAATACTATGGTCTATATAAGCGGTTCATTTTGAGTAAACACGAATCAATAATGGATGTTTACCTAGTGTTTTGTAGTAAGTGATTATTGATTAAATACCTTATATCATTGACCCCATAAGTGAAATAGTAATGTTGGTCCGGTAGATGCTCAGTAGGTAAACTAGGTGATGCTTACTGAATCAGTCTCGATTTGCAGTAGATAAACATACCCCAAATATGATTGAACATAAGACATAGTTTTTAACTTTTCAACTAAAGCTCTTGCATTGATATGAGGCGGTTGATGGAGGTTTTCAGCTACTTACGAATGACAAGTTTATGAGCGCGTCACACAGAGTTTTAGCGAACAAGATTGGTCCAAGAGTATCAGTGGCATCGTTCCTTAGGGTACCACCAACGCAATCATCTAAGGTCATTGAACCTATCAAAGAGTTGCTTTCGGAGGAGAATCCAACCAAGTATAGAAGCACGACAGTGGGAGAATTTATGAATCATGTTCTAGCAAAGGGACTCGATGGTGTATCTGCTACTTTGCATTTCCGGATCTAGAAGGCACTTCAAGAACCAAGATTTGGACGAGAAATCTTTCATTTTATTGTTTAGAAGCAACAATATTCATCAACTATCGTTTGGTTTTCTGAAAACGTGTATAAAAGTATTTATAAATAATGTATGATTGAAAATAGTTGTGTTGGTTTACATCTTTGTAGGACAAAACCATCAGAGTTTGAGAACAACATATATTGTACTTGATCGAACCATTGATAATAATGGAGCAACGATTAGAAATGACATTGGAGTGAACACCGAAACTTTGAGGATCGGATGCATGAAAAAAGATAGATAAGATCGAAGAAACAAAGATAGAAATCCTTTGCCGGTGGTCAAATGAGAGGGCTAGAGCATGAATTTTTGAAAGTTCCTTTCACCCAACGATATTCGATGTCCCGATCTTTTAAGGGCCAAACTCATGTCATACATGAGAGCTTTATTTCTTGTAAGTGCCAAGTTTTGGTTTCATCTATATATCTAGCCATGAGTAGCGAATCCTTAGATAAAAAATTTGTTCATCATTGGTATATCATGGTATTTACGAATAGGTCGTAAGGTAAGGATGGAAAACACCGATCAGGGTTGGGGTGAAATATAACATGAAACCATGGCTCTAATTGTGTGCATGGAAAACACCAACTTAGGAATGTTATTGAACGTGCTTACGGTGTTTCGAAAATGAGATTTCCGATTTTAAAGCAGATAGCTCCCTTTCCATTTACAACACAAAGAAGTGTGGTAATTGCTTGTTTTGGTATACATAATTTTATCAAAAAATTTAATATTCAAGACTAGTTGTTTACGGAGTGCAATGATGATAGTATATTTAACAAGAAGAAGAAGTCGAATGAAATGGAGAAGAAAAATTGGACATTTCTCAATGGGATGCTAATAGCACTTAATATATGGCTACTTTGAGCGATGAAATTGCAAATAGTTTGGTCAATAATGTTTAACTTTTAAGTATTTGTGTTCGAACTTGGTTACTTTATGTTTGAACTTGGATTTTTAAGAATTTTATAAATTTATGTTTTAATTTTTGGATGATATCAATTAATATATGTCTTGATCTTTATATGATATCAATGAATTTATGAATATGTTTTGATATTTAAATATTTTATTTTTCAGAAATATCATTTGACTTAAAAAATGAACAACAATTTATTAAATAGCGCATAGTTCATTTTCACGGGTAAATTGGTCATTTATGTTATTCAGACTGTTGATTTAGATAGAAAAGTAAACAACAACATAAATTTATGTAGACAGGAAAATTTATACAGACAGACAAATTTATTCATACAAGACTTAATAGAGAATATGGTAAATAACCCCAAAAGGATGTTAAATATTTTAGGAATTAAACCCAATAATTACTTATAAACCATGAACTAAATTTCATATATATATATATATATATATTATATTAGAAAATCATTTTTTCTTTTAATAATTGTTTTATTATTTAATTAAC